GTAACTTAAATATGAAGTAAAAGTATAGGTGATGATGTTGGTGATTGAGATTAAATCATGTTAAAAAATGTGTCAAAAGGATAAAATTTGAGTCTTCGGCCAAGAACCCTGCCCGAGAAAAGGAGTTTGTGGTCAATCTGTTTTTGGTTAGAGTAATGTGTGCGGTCATGAGGTTTGTGATCCGAAGTGGTTTGCGGTTTGAGTTGATTTTGGTCCGAGAAGGTGGGATCTCGCATGATGTTTTCAGTCTTGATTGAAAACTTGTTTTTGGTCCGAGGAGATGAGGTTCTTGCGAGTTTTCGGTGGAGTTGTTAGCCACGTGTGTTTTTCCGTTTTTAACCAAGAATGGTTTTTAGCTTTTAAGTGTATTTTATTCTTTTATTAAAACACATATTTTAAACCATAAACACTTGATTAAATCAAATGTGTTTTAATTATTTTACCTTTGTTTGACTTAGTTGGCTATTTTAAATTTTTGGGTTTGACTCTCATTGACTTTTATTAACTGAAAATAACAGGTTGTTACATTATCCCCCTGTTAAAGGGAATTTCATCATGAAATTGTTTTTAAAGTGGCTACTCTTGATGTAGGGAAAATATGTGGGTACTTTTGTTTCATTAGACTTTTCTATTCCTTAGTGAATTCAGGTCCTCGCTTGTCGTTCCAGCGGACCTTTATTATTAGTATGCGACCTTGTTTTGTTTAATCTGATTGTTTGTGTTAGTACGATACTGTACTTAAGATGGGAGAAAGTGTGGGTTTGGTTTACATGTTTACGTTTACTTGAATAATAGCATGCTCACCTGTAGTCTTGGATAGCTTTGCCCTGAAGTTCATAGTAGGACTCATAATTGGTTCATCCACCCACACCTCGTGTATACAAGTCGTATATAATTAAGATTGGAAAGACGTTCGGATGGGTGACTTTGCCCCAAGTCCACAACCAGATAAGGAACAGGAGATAGAGTGGAATCATACACCCTAAACCCATAGAATCTTAATTATATACCACCCTTGCATATACCATTAGTAGTGATAGATTAGCTGCATGGATCCTTAGTCTCTATTCTTGAATTTTCCTTGTTGTACGAGCGGTATTCCTGGAAAGTCTGCTGAGGATACTTCAGGAAGATTACGGACTTCGGGAACATCTTCGGTATGTTTCACTTTAAGTTTCTTGTCTACGGAGTAAGCTAGGAAGGCGTGGTACCCCTCGCTTGGGTACTTCTGAGTTTTGAAGCGAGATATGACATGGAGGTTTATGTGGGATTTATCGTTATAGCTTGAAAAGATTTAGTTAGAAGGTTGGTTAGAGCGAAGAGTCTTTTTGTAGCACATGCAGTTGGTATGGTGAGGACCAAGACAATCCACGTCGAATGACGACGTCAAAACTTCTTATTGTAATGGATGTTAAGTCGATTAGGAGGAAGTGTTTATTTAGAGCGATGGTGTTATGTATATGTCATTAGTGCCTTCTGTTTTATTCTTGTTATTACTGTTGCGAATATTTGCACCACGTTTAGCTAGTATAGGTAGTAAGAGTGTTCCTATAATTAGTAATGAATTCTCTTAATATGATCCCTACAAAGTCTCTCTATAATCGCTTAGTGTATACAAATCGTATATAGTTAAGATTGAGAAGACAGTCGACCGAGTAACTCTGCCCTAAATCCACAATCAAACAAGAAACATGAAATAAGGCGGAATCACTCACTCTAAGCCTGCATAATCTTAACTATATATGACTCTAATATTACACTAAGCCATCACAGCTCACCTATAAAAATTCTTAGTTTTTATATGAATGATGCGGTAGTTATAATTTTGATTTAATTGTCAAAAACGTTTGTAAAAATTCGGTGCTTAATTATTGTTATTTGGAAAACGTACCAAGAATCCCAGTAGGTTCCTTGTTGCTCCTTTATGTCCTATTGTTAATATCCTCCCTATCCCCCATCGTTTCTCTCTGTTGGATAATCTCTCTTGAAATGTCCTATTCCGCCGCATGCATCGCATATGGGTCTTTCTCCGACATTGGTGGTTGAAGTGATGTGTTGGGATGGAGTCCTACAGAAGCGGGCAATGTTCCTATTCTTGTTGCACTTCTTGCAATGCAATTCCCACCAGATTCCCTTGTGATGGAAATTACACTTTTTGCACTTCGTTAGTGTTCAAACATATCGATTGGTTGGTATTGGAGCGCAAATGTTGTGGCTGCAGGGGCTTCCATAGGTTGTTGTCTCTTGGCAAGTCTTTGAGATAATTTGCGCTCCTTTTTGTTCTAGAACTTTCTTTTCTTTCTCTTAGGTTTGTGGTCTAGGGTTCCCTTGATGACCGAGACTCATTGTTTTCCTTGGTTGCTACTACGGTTTGAATTGTCGATGTTGTTTTCATTTTTGTTTGGGTTGTTAGCATTGAATTGCACCATGACAGCTGTCATAGCAGCTGTTACAGTGGCTTGGAATGCAACGGAGTCTATATGTAGAATCGGGGTTTCGTCGGTTGGCCAGTTTTTTCCATGTGAAGACATGATTCTGTTGCATGATGTGAAATAGGTTCGTAAGTAACTACGGTTATTGCTAGTTGTATTTTACCTATTTATATATACATATAAATTTTATTGGTTCGTTATGCGATTCTTAATGTTTCAACCTACCTCCCTACGATGTATTCATGGTAGTGAATAGAAATAAATATTGTACAAAGGTTAAGTTCACTCATCCTAGTACTAATCTCATCCAAGCATGCTTAACTGCGGAGTTCTTATGGAATCCGGTACATTAGTGTTGGTATGATCGCACCCTATAAATCCACGGAAAGTCATCTTTCTACCATAAGGTTTAAGAGAATGAAATGGTAGTAAGTCTTTTAGTAATAGCTATAACTCGTGTGTCGCTTTAACTATGTAATATTGGTCCCGTGCGTATTGTGTTCTGACTGTTATAGAGTTTTCTAAACAATTCATAATAGAAGTCTATATAGAATAAACTTATGAACTTTTAATAGTTATCGCCCTTAAACAAAATTCTATGACTTGATGTACTAGTATTTGTTGTTACGAAAGAAATGATAAACCTAATACACAGTGTGAGTAGTGGAATTGCTAACTCACTAAGTTATATCATTTTATAAATTACTAGTGTGATGTATAGAGTGCTTTCTAGTTTGATCCTGATAGGGTAAGGTTCGTTAATAATCTCTTTGTTGGTTTTCTCTTCTTTTGGTCCTTTCTTAGTTGCCTCCTCATGAACCCTCTTTTGGTTCTTCCTCAACTCCTCTGTTGGCTATTGTAGTGTAGTGTTTACATCTACCTATGTTGTTTGTGCGAGAATGGGAGTGTCTAAAGAATCTATGAGATAAATAAAACATGTTTATTTTTATGGGGTGATCCTTACCAGGTCCTCCTATAGTCATGTAGTGTATACAAATTATATATAACTAAGATCAAATAAACTTTCGAATAAGTGATCCTACTCTAAGACCACAACCAAACAAGGAATAGGAAGTAGAGTGAAAATCACAAATTCTAAGTCTATAAAATCTCAATTATATATAACCTTAAAATATACACTCAATAATTATAGACCTACCAGTAAAGGTCTTTTAGTTTTCACATAAGTTAGTTATAGTGCATAACATACTCCTATAATATCTTAACTGTATGTTTGATTCTAGTGCTTCTTGGTATATGAAGTTGATAAGTTTCTACACTTGTTGTTATTGTGAAGTATCATAAAATACTCCTATAGTATTTTAAACATGATGTTTGGTTCTAGTATTCCTTTACGTATAGTATACTTGTTGAGTCTCCAAGATGGACATCGTACACCGAAAACTACAGAAAACTACATTCAATGTTAAGAGAACATGAAGGTACAATTCTACTTATTTGTAATTACTTGTTTATAAATTTAGAAGGTTTTTTATACGTAAATAATATTTATAGAATTCCAAATGTTTTAAAGTATTTGGACGATTTTTTCTTAAACAAGTATAAGGAAATATTTGTCTCTCTTTGGATTGATCAATATTTGAGCTTTGGACAATGAACCAGCAACAGAATTGAGAGTCAACATTCAACATTAAAGAAGTAATTACAAGAAAAAAATTATTCTTTAGCTAAATTTGTTGGTACTATTGATCGGTTTGTGAAGTCTCAACTTACAACGATAAATGAGAGTTTTGAAAAGAGCATGATCGTCTCTAAACACGAACATGAATTTTTTTGTTTCGATTAATTAGGGGGTAATGTTTCACTTAAAGCTCTGGATAAGCTAGTAGAGGAACTTCAACAGCTACATCAAGTTTACTCTTTAAACTATGGTTGTAAACTACAAAATAGTTGTGACTTTGTTGGATTTTGTGTCTAAGGCCATAACTATTTTGGTATATACTTGACCCGATTATGAGCATGGTCCTTTTGGGTTGCCTTCACTCATGCAACTTGATAGGATAACAAGAGGAGAGAGAGTAGGACTTATCATATGAATAAAAAGTTCATACTGAAAAATGGTTTTATTAATATATTACAAAATTAATATAGGGTTAATATCACAAAAGTCCTATGTTTTTGGCACTAAATTGGAAAAAGTCCTGAATTTAATTTTTCATTTACTGTGACCACGACATTTTCTTTGAGTTATCATTTGAGGGAAAATAGTCGGTCACCAGCAGGTAACCTCTACCATCCGGTCACCACTAAGCTATTCTGCAGCCATCACCTTTCACAAACCATCACTGCTAAAGGGTTTTTCATGCATTCGAGAAGGTTTTGACGCTAAGAAGAATTTCACAGTCCCCAATTTCGCAACTTGAAGCTTCGAAATCATTGGTGAAGTAAGGTTGGAGTAGAAAGGTACGTGTATGGAAACAAGAAATTGATGATTATGAGGGTGGTTATCTTCGTCTATGGAGTTCCAAGTTTGAACTAACAAGTTGTGTTTTTGTTTTTTTTTTTTATTTTATTTTATTTTATTTTTTTTTTATTTTTATGAAACAGATGGATCCTACTTCTAGAACTAAGAAGCCTAAAGGGACTAAGCTCCCTGAGAAGACATATCTTCCAGACTCTAACTCCGATGAAGATGCATTTGACTTTAGCTTCTTGGATTTTTGTAAAGAAACTTTCAAAGCCCCCTCAAGTTTATGTGATGATCAGTTTCTTAACTTATTGTGTGATGAAAACCTATTAAGGAGAAGTATTGATGGAATGGTAGATGATAGAGACATTCCTGGTTTCCAACAAAAAGACCAAGCCCACTTAGATGAGGACAATGAAGATGTTGGTGTGGAGAGGGTGCATGATCCCAATGTTGACTAGAAAGAGATGAGGCCCTAATTAGGAGATTGTTATGAATCCCCTGCTGAACTCAGGTTTGCTTTAACTAACTATGCAGTCCATGGAGGGTACCAGCTTTATTTTGAAAAAAGTGATAGAGTGAGGCTTATAGCTGAGTGTGGTAGTGGAACCAGGGATAGCAATGATAATAACAAAATACAGTGTCCATTTAGGGTTGCAGTTGGATGGAAGTACAATGAAAGAACATTCCAGATAAAATTTTGTAATGAAATGCATCTGTGTGCTAGGAATTATCATTTTGGTTCCTTAGTTACTAGCAGTTGGTTAGCCAAACACTACCTGAAAGATGTAATCATGAAGCCCAAGATGACATTGCTAAAGATGCAAGCAGATGTGCTAAAAAGGTTTTCAGTGAGTGTATCTCTTGGGCAATGCCAAAGAGCAAGGTCTACTGCAATGGGGGATGACAGAAGGGAGGTTAGAAGATCACTATGCCAAGATTTGGGACTATGCAACTGCAATTAGGTTGAGTAATCCGGGTACAACTTGCTTGGTGGGGTTAGAAAGTAATCTAGGGTTTAACTATTTCAGATGGTTTTATGTTGGCTTCAAGGCTTTCAGAGACGGATGGAGCAGAGGATGTAGAAGGGTAATAGGACTAGATGGTAGTTTCTTGAAGGGGCAGGTTAAGGGGGAGATTTTAACTGCTATTGGGAGGGATGCAGACAACCATGTCTACCCAATAGCATGGGCAGTTGTGAATGTTGAGAATAAGGACAACTGGACCTGGTTCATTGATAATTTGGTTGCTGATTTGGATCTTGGTGCTGGCAATGGATTGGTTGTTATCTCAAACCAACACAAGGTACCACAACATACACTAGTATACAATATATATTTGTATGTTATAGTCATTAATATTTACATGTGTTGTGTTGTGTTTGTTTGTTAATTATAGGGACTTTTACAGGCTGTGGCAGACCTACTCCCCAATGTTGAGCACAGACAATGTGCTAGACACATCTTTGCAAACTTTAGAAAGAAATTCACAGGATTAGAGCTAAAGAGTTTGTTCTGGGAAGCTGATATGAGTACAGTGGAAGGGGAATTTCTTGCTACAATGGAGAAGATAAAGAAGATAACAGAAACAGGATACAATTATCTTATGGCAAGGAAACCTGAAACTTGGTGCAGAGCCTTCTTTTCTCATGGGTATGCTTGTGAAGCAGTAGAGAATGGGGTTGCAGAATGCTTCAATGCCATGATCAAACAAATAAGGAAGAAGCCTATAATCACAGTGCTTGAGGAAATAAGGATTCTCCTTATGAAAAGGTTTTTTCAACAAGGTCAAGAGGCCACCAAATGGAGGGGTAATTATGGGCCTAACATATAACTGAAGCTTAATGAATTTGGGAAAGATATGAGGTAATATAAGTTTTTATTGGCATGTATCCAAAAATATTAAGTATGTATTTATATGTGTACTTTGTTTGTTTTGTGTGTAGGTTGCGGACAGTGGTGCCAAGTGGTGGTGATGTGTTTGAGACTAGGTATGGCTACAATGGATACAAGGTTGATTTAGCCAATCACACTTGCACCTGCAACTTGTGGATGTTGTTGGGCATACCATGTGTGCATAGTCAAGCTGTAATCAACTATGTCCACAAAGATCCAAGTGAATTCATTTCATCTTGGTTCCACAAGGACAAATATGTTGCAACCTACAGTCAGAACATACAACCTATTGGTGGAAGCAACTTGTGGCCAGTAACTGAGTTTATTAAACCATTAGCACCCCTAGTTAGAAGGATGCCTGGAAGACCCAAAGTAAATAGAGTGAAGCATGCATCTGAATCAGAAGATGCCAAATACCCCTCTCATAGGTTAAAAGTCCTAGTGAGGTGTGAAAAGTGCCAACAACTTGGGCATAATAAGATTTCATGCACAAATAATGAGGTACCTAAGCCACTTGTCCCAAAAAGGAAGATTGGAAGACCTAGGAAAGATGGGGGAGGCCAACCTGTCTTTGATCAATTCCCTCCAGTTGAGCCTGCTATACCAAGAAGTGATGCTGCCCCTCCCACAGTTTCAGAATGCGGTGATCAAGTTAGTGGGCCTGATGTACCAAGAAGTGATGTTACTCCTCCCCCAGTTTTAGAATCTGGTAATCAAGTAGGTGGTCCTAATATTACTCCTATGAAGAGGACTAAGATGATGGCAAGGAGAGGAGGGAAAACTAAAGTGTCTAGATCAAGGAACAAAACACCAAAGAAAACACCTAATGGTAAGAAACATAAGAGTAATGCAAAGGAGGATGTGTCCCTAAGATGTGATGAGGATTTTGTTGATATTTTTACCCATGCACCTAATGGTAAGCAAGGTATGAGTCAAGCAACAAAGGATGTTCAAGAACAAGAACATGATGATAATGAGGTGAAGGTGAGTGAAAGAGTTACTTTACAAGAGTTGCTGATGTCTGGATATACACATGCTGATGCAGTGGCTGCTATGAAAGAGGTATGTTTTGGTAATCACTATTTTTGGCTTTCATATTGTAGATTTACTAACTACCCCTCCATATTGTTGGTTTATGGAGAGGTTGAGGAACAACAAATTGAAGAAAAAGAGGCTAAGGGAGGAGTTGAAGATACAGAGGTTGAAGAAGAAGAAGTTGAAGGCATACAGGTTGAGCAATAAGAAGTTGAAGTCATAGTGGTTGAGGAAGAAGGAGTTGAAGAGACAGAGGTTGGAGCAACAGTCCTACCCTCCAGAAGAAGTTATGGTGCTTACAATTTCCATTGGGAGAAAAAGAGGAAACCCTCTGAAAGAATTAGGAAGTTGAAGCTCAAGAAAATGGTTGAAGATGTTGATGGTGGTGGTTCCTTCAAAACCCCTTGGGTTTTAGAGTAAGGAGTTGTGTTTAAGGGTTCAATGGGTAGAATGAGCATTAGTAAATAGGTTGCCCTTTTTGTTAACATCTACTTTTTGTGTTTTAGGGTTCAATAGGTAGAATGGGCATTAGTAAATAGGTTGCCCTTTTTGTAAACATCTGCAAATGGTACACTTGTCTTTTGGTAACAAGCTTCCAATTCATATCCATAATGTTTGGTAGAATTGGAAGTTTGGTTCTAATTAGGTTAAATGGTACGATAGTGATTTTTGGGAAGCATTGTAAAGTACATTCCCATTTTTGGGCAGTTAAATATTTGGTATGATTGTTAAGTTATCAATATGTATATGCCTTGATCACTATAATTGTTGTTACCTTCCATATTTTGGTTAGTTTGGTAAGTAGGTTTATACATATGTATGTGTTAAAGGACTTAATACATTGTTATCATTAATACATAATAAGTTGTTGTCATTGTCATCTCTTACAAAACCAAAAAATTGCCATACATAACACATGCATCTACTTACTGCCTAACTTGACCAAAGTACCCTTACACCTAAACTACTACTACCATTCCACCTGAACCTAACTAATGCCCACAACTTCACAGTGCTTTAACCATAACATTGTGAACCATAAACCCCATCACTATCACCACCACCAAAAGCATGACCATCATAAGTAACTCCACCTTCAACAGGTTTAAAATATCCAGTTGAACTTCTTTGTTGTTGTTGGCCTCCTCCGAAAGCTTTAAAACCTCCATTGCAAATTCTTTATTGTTGTTAGCCTCCTCCAAATCCATATGAAACTTCCACATAGTTTCCTTGTAGTAAGTGTTTGGCAGGGGTGGATCAAGCCATCAAAAAAGGCGCATGTTTTTTGGTGTCCTGCATAACAATCACTTGTTCATAATGCTTCAACAAGACCACAAAAAATTACTTAATATTACCTGATAGTTTGGACACCCCCTGAATTTCCTCCATGGATTATCGACAGTTTTGGAGATCGAGAATGTCGCAAGTTAATCACAATCGCATCTCAAATCTTTAGACCAACGATTCCTTAAAGCCCACTCTTTGTAACCTTGTGTGTGCGTGTTGGAGGAGCTTACCATCCTTTTGATTTGAAGTTGGAGAGAAGAATCGACCCAAAACTACCTGCAACGTTCGACTAAGGAGTAAACCTACTGAAACCGGTGAAACTGGCTCTTTGCCCTCAAACAATAACTCAAAAAAAATATTGTGGTCACATTAAATGAAAACTTAAATTCAAGGCTTTTTCCAATTTAGTGGCAAAAACATGGGATTTTTGTGATATTAACCAATTAATATATTATTTGTAAATCATATTATTTAATTAGTATTGATTAGAAATTAATTTGGTGGTCAAAAGAGACTAATTAAATAAAGGGACTATTATTGTAATTATTTGTTAGTTGCAATTGGGCTGATGGATTACCTTGGAATAAGGTTGGATGAATTCTATGGGAAGCCTATAAGGAATTCGTCCAAGGGCTATTCTAAAGGGGTCCATGGGCTGCTTAAGGCCTAAGCAGTCACATTAGGGTTTCCACTTAAAACCCTAGCATCCATAAGTATAAATAGACCCCATTATAAGGGATTTTGGTCCAAGGATATAAGAAACCCTAGAGTGGTCGAAATCCTCCTCTCTCGTACATCATCCTTTGCATAAAGTGTTTGTGACCCCATTAAAGGTGCAACACTTGGGGCACTAAGCTTTCAAGAGTCAAGGACTTTGTGGATTGTTCTTATTATTGCTACATAAAAAGTAAGGTAAGATTCCAAACCCTTATTTACATATGAATTTCGTTCTTAGACATGTTAGATTAGGGTTTATGCTTTGGAAGATTGTTTGCATGTATAACTTGAGTAAAACCTAGACCCAAAGCATTAGGGTTGCATGTACACCATATGAATGATGTTTTGCTCAAAACCCATCAGTGGTATCAAAGCCTAGGGTAGTGTTTCTGTTATATGATGCAAAAGTTAGGTTTTCAAAGCTAAAATTTGAGTTTTTCGATTCTGAGCAAGACTCACGACGTGAGAATAGTGCTCACGATGTGAGCTCAGATCTGATAATAGATTTTCGGAAATATTTCCCTAATTTGATTTAGATGATTACCATAAGTTGTTTTTCCAAATTAAAATCAGATTTTCTGTTACGGTAATTGATATCCTAATCAAATTAATGGATAATTGTCAAATTAAGATAATTACTTGTTTTATAAGATAAAGTTTAATTATTTGTATTTTGATTTGAATTATCTTGTAAGAAAAAAATTGGATCATGTCAAATTATGTGATAATTATTAATTATATGATATTTAATTATTTTTTCAAATTTGATCTAAAAGATATTTTCAAAATTTTCCCTCAAGTTATTGAATTTAAAATTTGATTAAAAAGTATTAATTTTGAAATATTAAATTCTAAAACCCTAGTGTTTTGGAAAGTTTAAATTACACCCTTATGGTTTTATTAAATTAATTAAGTGTTTAATTAAAAAAGATAATTAATAAATTCATAATAATATGGTTTCAGATTAATCAAATTAAAAGTTTAATTTATTAATAGATTAAACCACCTAGTATTTTAAAGGTGTAAAATACACCCTTATACTACATAAAATTAGAAGTCTAATATTATATATGTATGAGTAAAGAGTCAATCTTACCCTTAGTAGGTCTTATTCATGAAGTTGGTCTATAAGGGGTTTTTAAGGAAGCAGCCTGTAAAATGACCGCCATTGGGTATCCATTCTTACACACCACACTCTTGACCAGTGGAGGGACGTTAACCGAACGGGTAGGATAAGACACAGCCTTCCAGTAGAAGTATAATGAAATACGAAGTAACTAAACAATTTTACAAATTACCACATCTTAGCTACTTTAGAAAAAATGTGGAATTGGTGCTAATCTATGAAATTGCACATTACACCTTGTTGATCGTTAGTGGAGCGTGTGTGGTTAACCGACACACTAATATGGGACCAATGAAGGATGTCAATGGGTTTCTCGTAAGATTATCATTGATCAATGGAGCATGTGTGGTTAACCAGCACATTGATTGGGTGGTGATCGACATCGTGAGTACAAGCTAATTTACAGGGTTATCCACACATTGTTTGTGATCCTTGGCATCCCAGTCACAAACTTGAAGGGCATAATCGAGATTAAACATGCTATTGAAAAGTTCAATGAATCTCAAAATATCTAAAGGTACCTTCAAATATTTTGCAATTGGATTATAGAATCCCTCTTCCTAATTGCAGAATATTGTGTTGGATCCTAGCCTGGTTATTTCATTTTGGTGTTATATCAAGGATTCTTATCAACTAACTTGATTTTTCTCACATTTTGTAGATGTTAAATAACTATGGTCTTCCCGAATCCTTTGGAAAAGGCTTTCCACTTGAAGTTGGTGTTCCAAAATTGGATCATGCAAATGGAAATTATGCTTCACTTCCTCCACCTCCTCCAATAGTTGTGACAACCCGAAATTTCCATTCTGAACAAACCATATCAAGCCAATAGATGTAGATCAGTTACAATGTAAAACTCAGATTTCGAGTATAAGTTTGGTCGTTTTTCAGGTTTTTACACTTAAGAAGATATTAGGAGAGTGGGTGCACTAGGGTTTTGTGCAACACTATTATTCCAAGACTCTAGGACATTAGAGTTTGTTCCAGGAATAAAAAAATTTTCTGCCAAAAATCTCAGGACTATAAATAGAATTCTGAACCAAATTGGTTCATTAGTTGAATTCCAATTAGAGAAAAGCCAAATTCTCTCTCACGGATCTTCGGGTTTTTATCCCAAATCGTGAGTACACTTCTCTAGTTGTTTTATAATACTTGTTATAAGCTTAATAACATATATTACATGCCAAATATAAGAGATCCGGGAGTTTACCGCCCAAGAACGTTCTTGGGGAGTAAACTCCATTTTAAGGTCCTTAAGGGTTCAAATGACGCTCAAAGCTTTAGAACTCGAACTAGAAGCCTCCAATTCATGCCTTATACCACAAAACAATTAGGATCCATGACTAGAAGGGAATTTACGGCCAAGGAGCTTCTTAGGCTGTAAACTCCAAGTTTTTAAGTGCCAAAATGCTTGGAAACACTACCTAAGGCTTGGACTCTATTTTAGATAAATACCCTAAAGTGTTTAGAACCTAGAAAACTCATGGAAACACAAGTGTGGAAGAGTTTACGGCCAAGAGTAATTCTTGGGCCGTAAACTCCTTTAAAGGGGTCAAATGACACCCTAAATCCTTCCTAAAGCCAAGAGACAATTAGAGCATGTACCTAAATGAGTTATGGACTAGTTAAAACACTTAGAACCCCAAGAGTGAGGGAGTTTACGGCCCAAAAGGTTCTATGGCCGTAAACTCCATTAAATGGTGCCAAAGGGTGCCATAAACTCTTATAAAGACAAGTACAAAAGCCTAGATAGTTCCTAGTTAAAATAGAGACTTGAAAGCACCATAATCACCCTCCCAAGGGAGTTTATGGCCGTAAACTCCAAGGGAAGATGGTCTTTGGGCCGTAAACTCCCCAAAGGAGTTTATTTGGTACCCAAACACTTGTTATAGCCTTGAAACAATTCCCCACTAGAGTTGTGATAATTCTAAGCTCCATTTAGGCCTTGGTTGAGAGTTTACGGCCAGGAGCTTACTCCCGTGGGCCGTAAACTCCAAAGAACATGGTCATTAGACCTTAAACTCCCCTAAGGGGCATTGCACTCTTTTGTTGCAACCCATTAGCCCCCAAGCACTTG